TTAAATTTTTGAGGGGGCCCTCCCTCAGCCCCTGGAGAAGAGCATTGTTCCGTTGCCCCAAAGGGACTGGGGGACTACCACCTAAAAAATTTTAAAAGGGGTTAAATGGACTGTTTACATCGTCTTCAAGTACTTCGCTTCTACAATTTTTTCTGTACCGACTGAAAACCCTACTGTGTAGGCGAAACGTTTTCGAAATAAAGATACCAAAAACGTTGCAAAAGGTTTTTACCTAACAATCTGTCGGTATTTATCCCAAATTTTTAATGTTCATTTCTGTCAGACACGGGAAAAAAAAAACAAAAAACGGGTATCTTGGTACAGCCCAATCAATTTTGAAAAACCCCCTACTAGTGAGAACGGCCTGGGTTTGAGGGGGAACCGGCCCCCCCCCCCCAAAGCAACCTACGTTTTCACCCCGGGCACTAAAAAGGGCCCATCCGTCACTTCAACTTCATATCGTTTCAGACAAGGGAACAATGCTCTTCTCCAGACTGAGGGACTGACCACCTCAAAATTTAAAGGGGGATGGACTTTTTAAACATCGTCTTCAAGTATCTTCTGCTTCTATCAACTTTCGGGTACTCGACTGAAGAAGCCTACGGGGAGGCGCCCCCGTTTTTCAAAATAAAAATACCAAAATTTTTGCATATGGTCTTACCAAACCCAATCTGCCCGTTTTTTAACCATTTTAATGTTCAACCCAAGTGTTTGATAAATTTACAACTGAGGGGAGGTGGAAAAGCTCCTAAGTGACCTTGAAAACCTCAAAGGCAGTGGGCCCAAACCCTCTTTTCCTTTGGGCCTTTTAGAGAGGGAGCGGGGACCTAGTGGGGGCCACAAACCCAAAATCTTCAAAATTTCCCCTTGAAACTGGGCAATTTACCTGAAGAAAGGAAGAACGGAAATGCAGCCCCAAATTTTAAAGGGGAGACAGAAATAACCCACTAAAAATTTTAAAACCAGTGTCAGGGGCCCTGCAAAATGAAAAAATTCTTGGAAAAGTTTATCGGGGAGAAGTGGTGGAGCAAATGGAGCAAACCAAGATTATAAATGACGGGCCACAGGGATTCATGAAGGAAAATCCTGTGCCCAAAAACCCTACAGATTTTTACATGAGGGTGGGAAATTGCTGGTGTTTTTTTGTCTGTCTCATAAAAGGGCAAGATTACAGGTACGCCTTGCTACTTCACTTACTTTAGGTCACACAACACAAAACATGTAAAAATTTTTTATTTATACACACTCTCTAGTTTTTTTTTGTTTTTATCTTAAATATTTTCTTGGTCTTATTATTTTTCCTTTTATATCCAGGGGGAAAGGGAAATTTAAAATTTTTCCCCCGTAACCCAAATGGGGTTTTTGAAAAAATAAACAAAAATTTCCCGGGGAACAATGGGCTAGCCCCCCTTTTTCCCCTGTAAAGATTACTAAAAAGAATAAAAGAAGAAAATTGTAAAAGGGGGAAGTCAAATTTGCGGGATGTTTGCAAAGGGATAAAAAAGGAGAGATTGGGGAATGTTTAAATAGAAGAAGTTTGGAAATGCCTGGTTTTAAGTAAAAAAAGCTAAAGGGGGGTGGGAGATTTTTCAGTGGAAGGAATAAATGGGTTTAAAGGTCAGGGTTTCAAATAGATTTAAAGAGCTAAAGAAGGAGAAAGCAATAATGTAAAGGTATAAGCTAGGGCAGGAAAAGAGGGAC